TCCTTCCGATAAAGGAAATTCTACCACCCCCACCCCAATTCCCGAGTTGACCCCCCTCTCCCGCGGCAGGATCTGTTGTTTCTCTCCCCGCACCGTTCCTGGGGAGGGGAGCACATCATTTCTCTTCCACAACCCCCCCATCCCCCCACCCCAGCCCTCCGTGCCTTTTGTTTTGGTTGGACGTTGACATCCCTGCTTATTCCTTTTGTTGCAGCACGTAGAAGACCCCGGTATTAACATCCCAGATCAAACTGTAATTAAGAAAGGTAAGCCATTTCCTCGCGCATACCAAACGTGTCGTCACAGGCTGGGAACTACTCTTAGGGAGGACTTACCCGGCCTCCCCCCAACCCCCACCATCCCTGACCCCGGGCTTCTTCCTTTGGCACGGCCAAAATGTTGGGAGGCAGAGAAAGAAAACGGGCGATGGGAGGGGGGGATGAAATCCGTCCTCTTTTAAACGGCTACGTTCGCCGGGTATTTTAATTGTTGTCGTTAACGAGGAAAAAATGTTAGCAGATGATCTAGAAAATCCGAGCCGGTTATTTTAGTGCTTTAGCAAACAATTCGGTCTCGTGGTTTGCCCCACGCCTCTGGCTGAGCTGCGGGGTTTGTTCGTTGTTGGTAAACTAGGCTGTGAAAGAGGAAAAAAAAACCCAACACGTTGTTTTCCCCCTTCTTCGGGTTTTCTTATTCAAATCACGGCGGGGCCGGGGGGGGCTGCTGGAGGAGAGGCAGCGAGTTTCTGGAAACTGATGGCTGTCCATCAGGGGGGTTTGGTTTTCGTTGGCTGTTGTGCGCTCGCTTCACTTGGAATGGAATTGCTTGGGAGGAATGGAATTGCTTGGGAACCGGTCCCCAAACCCTGCGAGAGATTTACGGCGCGTTTTCACGCTCCGTTTTCTTTCCCCGTCTTCCTTTGCACGACCCGAAGGATTGGGAAAGGTGGCACAGAGCAGTTTAAGGAGGTTCTGGGTAGAAAGCAAGGGGGTTGCGTTTGGGTCCTGCGTAGGGAGGGAGCTGCTGCTGGAGTGAAGCTCGTGGGGCTGAAGGCAAGAGTTGGCTGCTGCCTGCTCTGACGGGTGCTGTGGCTGTGCAGCCGCCTGGAATTTGGGTACTCTGATCACCACCAGAGCAAGGTGCTGTACAGAGCCACTCTCCTCTCTAACCCTAACCACTTGAGTGAGCTCAAAGTTGTATTTCTTCCCCCGTCTGTGAAGCCTTTGTCACGTCAAATTAGATGTGCAAGGGATAAATGTTAAGAGATGCTCTTTCCAAGTCGACATGATAATTGGCTCTTTTATTAGTAATCTCAAGAGTTCGTTTAACTCCTCTTGTATCTATTAGCCTTCCCAGAGCTATTAATGTCACAAGTGATCTATCCAAAACGGGAGAGAGCCCCCTGCTCAGTTGCACTGCACCCGTGAAGAGTAGCGGGTTGGAGAGGGGGAAAGGGGGGATGGAGAGAAAAGGAAAGGCACGGACCGGGATC